ACACATTCACACTAGCACGTAATCGACCCATCCTCCACGACGACTTGAATATGAAGGGCCTCATCTACGAGGCCTACTACAAGGGTGCTCTCCCTTTGCTCCACGTCGTCCCATTCGCCGCCCACGTGATGCGTGGAGCCATTGTCAGCGTTGTTTTCCGTCCACCCATTTCCTGGACAATGGCCATCTTCAGGGTTCTTCGTGAGCTCCATGACATGCCCAACGTTCGAGGTGGGATTAAATTCGAAGTAAGTTGTCCTGTCACTGCTACTACGTGATTTTGTGCATTTAAACGCCTTCAGTATCGGCATTAATCTATGCCTGTTTTATGATATTCAACGAGCGTGTTGATATCCGTTGTGTTCCTCTCTTCTTGCCTAACACAACGTGCGCTTGCACTGATCGTAAATTCCCGCGTCTGTTTCCTTTGAAGCTGAAGTACTCTCTACATGGCTGTCAGGTCACAAACCACGTAATTAGCTCATCTACTTGAGGCCATTTTCGTTTCGTTGAAACACAAATTCATTTGAGTCCCATCTTATTTCTCTAGATCAAGAAGCTATTCAGGGCATTCGATTCGGTTTCATCTGACACAACTTCGTCATGTTGTATTGCTCAATGATGTGCATGCACTCGCCTGAAGAAAAGCACTTCCCTGTGTAATGAATGAGGCAGGGAATTACACTTAAGAACGAGTGATAAGCTCTTTTCTAGCACCTGAGACGAATCGGTGTCACCGTGACAAGTCTCTTCCTTTCCTCTTCGGTAGACTCGCGTTGCTATGCTGACTCAGTCAGTTTTCCCGCAAATTGAACCCATGGCCCATATTCCACAACAATTTCTACCCTATGTATCTGCCCTTGGCTTCAGCGTGGGCGCTGCCACCTCGGGTGCCATCGGTGGCGCTATATCTGTTTCCCAGGTCGCATCGGCGCCCCAGATGATGCATCCTCACCAACTCAGAGGTACCCCAAGGCATTCACTCTCCTTCTACATATTCACTCTTTTATCCATAGTTGATGTCTGCAGGAGATTTTTTCAAATCTGCTTTTCAATCATGCCACTTAAACCATCCCATGTCCCATTTCTCTTAGCA